TAACTATGGGACTACAAAGAAATTCATTAAGACAATGATAAGATCAGCATTGCAATATGGACAAGCAAGAACATGTTCACAAAATGAAATAGCTTAGATGAGAATGCTAAGATGGGTGAGTGGTAGACTAGAAAGGACAGAATTAGGAACTAGTGCATTAGAAATGACTTAGGAGTAGCTCCAATTTGTGACAAGGTAAAGGAAAGTCAAGTAAAATGGTTTCCCATGTGCATAGATGACCAATGACTGCACCTGTGAGGAGTGAATTGGTGCGTGTGGGAGGTTCTAACAAAGCAAGGAAAGACCAAAGAAAACATGGCATGAAGTGGTAAGGCTGATTTAAAGACTTACTATTTGACAAAACACGTGCTTTTTAATAGAGCACAATGGTAGGACAGAATTTGTGTGGTTGATCCAAATAATTGAAATTAAGGCTGAGTTGAATTGTGTTTAAACACAACTGAAAAAAATCTAAAATATATTTGCAGTTAACTAGGTTGACTAGATTAGTATTATTGTTGGTAAAAAAATATTAAAAGGAAATAACTAGATAAACTAATTATTAATTGATGCTTAGTTGTTCTATGTGACCACATTGTGTGTATCAACTGACTAGTTAGTGATGCAGTCAGTAGGACCATTCAACTGACTAGTCGCTCTCAACTAACCAACACTTGTTGATACCCTCCCAAGAACAACAACAAAAAGTAGGGTACATTCAGATTCCTAAGCAGCACATTTTCACAAAAGAGCAACCAACAAAGTACACCTTGGTTAATCCTTATAAAAGCAAGCTAAACCATGTATCTCCTAAAAATCAAATAGGACATATTCTTGTATGCTTCTGATGATTATTACCTGAATGTGTTTTTTGGTCATATCCTTTTTTTATCAGCATTTTCTGGTCTGGTCGTATCCTTGGGTGCATTTGTTGGACATTTCTGCAACTGCATGAACAAAGCTAGTCCTTATGTTGGTGGAGTTCAAGGAGTTTTCCAAGAGCCACCATAGTTAAGGTGGGGGAGAGAAGAGGTACAGCCACAAGGAGGAATCACACAAGCCATCTGAGGGTAAGGATGGCAAGGAGGAGAAAAGAGGAGATCCAGAATGCTTCCTGTGGAACGATGGGATGGCTTTGGTCTCTGTCTTCTGAAATAACACAGTCTATAGGGAGTGGTTCTATAAGACTGGAGCATGGAGATGCAAGATGAACATATTAGTGGTCTCTATGGACGAATTCTAAGTGGTGTTGGGGATGGACTTATTGGGCAAAGTAAAGCCCATCCCTATGTCCTTTGTCAATTCTATGTGCATCATGGAAGAAGGGTGCACCATGCATAGTCCCAACGGTTCAAGGGACCAAGGCGCCGACCAAGATGATCTCGGCCCAGAAGCTCACCCGTGGAGTGAAGAAGGGTGAGGCCACATTCTTGGCTACAATGGTGGAGACAACTGAGGACGTGGGCACGAGCGGGGTACTACCTGAAGAGAGAAAAGGCGTCTTCAAGGAGTACGAGGGTATGATGCTACCACAATTGCCCAAAGAGATTGGTGCCAAGGAGAGATGGATCATAAGATAGAGTTTGAGTCATGAGCTAAGCCTCGGCCAAAGTGTCCTATAGGATGGCATCACCCAAGCTGGAGGAGCTAAAGAAGCCATTGAAGGAGTTATTTGATGTGGGCTATATCCAACCCTGCAAGGCACCAAATAGAGCACTAGTGCTATTATGGAAGAAGCATGACGGATCCTTGCAGCTATGCATTGACTATGCGGCCCTAAACAAGGTATGATCAAGAAAAAGTATCCCATTCTCCTCATTGCATCCCCATACCCATACCCATACCCATACCCATACCCATACCCATACCCATACCCAT